AGATTTTTGGAGGGAGAAATCTGGGAGCTGATGCTGCAGCACCACCAGACCTGTGTCTCTTGAGGAGAAGAACCATAGATTCAGTTAAACCAGGAGTCCAATCCTGACAGAATCAATCCCTGCCCTTGGAAACGGGACAAACTCTGGAATATCACCTGGTTTCGGCCTCACTCCCTCCTCCACTCCACCCCCGGCAGGAATCCGCCAAACTTCCCGCGCTCCCAAGGGAAGGAGTGACTCTCCCGAAGGCATTTTTGGGACGACGGAGGGAAAAACAACCAAAGAACGTAAAAGGGTGGAATTTCTGCCCTGAACGTGAGAAAGCGCGACCCAGGCAAAGCCACGCTCGGGCTCAAGGCCGCGCTTTAAGAACTAATTGGTCGCTTTTATCTGAGTTCTGGCACCTGCCCGGGATGGATGAGGAACAGCACGACCCTCCAGAGCAGCGCAGGAGCCCCGGGAGCGCGGATCCCAGCGGGAATCCCGGAACGAGGGGGGCACAAAGCACTCGGTCCCCGCGGAGGGAAGGGGGTGCTGGATCTCTGTGCCCCTAAACCCTCCAGAAACGGAGCGGCCGCGGGTAACGGGGCTGGAGCAGCGGGAGCCGTGAGGGAGCAGGGACAGGGGCCCAGAAAAGCTGAGCAGAGGAGGAGAATGAGAATCCTGGTCCTGAGCGGGGAGAAGGGCTAAAATCCCCCCAAGGGGATGATCCCACTGCAATTCCCGGCCGGGGATGAGGTGCGATGGGGAGGGAAGAGGGGTTTAAGCCCCTCCAAGGGGGTGATCCCACCTCCTCCATGGTGCCCCCCCGAACATCCCACCAGGGCCGGCTGAGGGGGTCGGGAAAGGACCGGCCCGGCCCCCCTCAGACCCCCCATGCCCGTCCCCACTCCAGGGCAGGGCCGCGGGGCAGAAACGAGGAGGGGGCGCGGGGCCCGGGGGTGAGGAGGGGGCGCGGGGGGTGAGGAGGGGGCGCGGGGGCCGCCGGGCGCTGCCGCCATTTGCAAACGCGGCGCGAACAAAGCGGCGCCGGCCAGAAACGAGCGGAGTCCGGGGCAGCCCCGTGCGACACCCGCGTTCCCCGGGCGGCGGCTCGATCCCCCCCCGTCCCTCGGGCCGCTGCTGAGGGGGGCCCGTGAGGGGGCCCGGCCGCTCCCCCCCACCCTCCCCTCACTCACCGCCGCCATTTTGTCTGCACACAATGGGCAGGGCGGGAGGGAGGGGACACGGGGGGGGCCGGGTCACCACGTCCCACCGCCCCCCCCGCCTCACCGCCCCCCCCCACACCTCACACCGGCTCCTCCCGCCCCAGCACCGCCCCGGCCCGGCCCGGCTCGGCCCGGCCGGCTCGGCGCGGCTTCCCCCTCGCGCGGCGTGGGCACGGCTCCTACCGGGGCTCTGCCGGCGGTGCCTCGCGGGGGCGGCCCGGCCCGGCCCGGCCGGCGGGGCCCGGGAAGGGCCGGAGCGGGGCCGGAGCGGCCGCGGCGGGGCCGGAGCGGGGCCGGAGCGGGGGCCGGAGCGGCGGCGCCGGGACTGCGGCGGGGGCGGGGCCGCCGCCGGCGGGGGGCGCGCGCGCGCCGGGCGGGGCGGGGCCACGGGGAGAGCGGCCGGCATGGGCCAATTGGAGGGCGCGGAGGGAGAGTGACGGACAGGCGGCAGAGCGAATCGGAGAGGGCGGAGGGAGGGTGACGGGCAGGGGGCGGGGAGGAGAGGGGGACGGGCCTGGAGGGCGGGGATAAGCGGCACGGGGCCAGGAGCGGGCCAATGGGGTGGCCCGGCACGAGGCGATGGACAAAGGGAAAGACCAATGGGAGAGGGAGGAGGGAGGGTGGTGCAGGAGGGGCGGGGCCCAGAGCGGTGGCGGGAACGGCTCGGGGGGGCGCGGGCTGAGGGGACGCCGTGAGGGTAGCGATGGCCCGGGAGGATCTCCCTGAGGGGACATGTCCTCACGAGCCTCCGAAGCACCGGAGCCCAGCCAGGGTTCCACCGGGAACATCCTTCTCTGACAAGCAATGAAAAGGTTTGACCTCAAAGTGCCTTTTTTTGGAGGGGTCAGATGTCAATATCGCCTTTTTACGAGGGCGACAACCTCAAAATCACCTTATTTGGAAGGGGTTGACCTCAAAACCACCTTATTTGGAGGGGGATTGGCCTCAAAACCACCTTTTCTGAAGGGGTTTGACCTCAAAAATGCAGATTTTTCAGTGACTTGACCTCAAAACCATTGAATTTTTGAGGGGAACCACCTCATAGACGCGTTTTTGGAGGCATTTGACCACACAAACACCTTCTGCTTTTGATGACCAGGGAAAACAACATTAAATAGGTGTCTGAACAAACACTTTGCTCTTTAAAATCCCTTCTTGGAGACCCTGTCGCTCAGGGATTGTTGGAAAATTACTCAGATTCAGCCCAAACTCCCCAAAACCAGTGACCCCCCCACTCTGAAATCAGCTGAACAAATGCTGAAATGGCCATTTTGGGGTGAAAAGTGGCAGAATTGGGTTCAGCCCTGAGGCGTTAGAGCCCTGCGATACCACACAACACAACGAGCTCCAAACAGGCACTTTTTTATTGTCGGTCGCGACGCTGACGGAACCGCGCAGAGACTCCGGAGTGTCACAGCACCCTTAATGCCTCAAAAACACGTGAAAAAGGAGCGTTTTCCTTTAAAACATCAGCCCTGCAGGTTTAGTATTGTTTAGGATTTTAGGGTTGTTTACTTTGCCCACAGAACAATCAGGTTTGCAGGGACAGAAGCCACATTTCTAGACAGGGGGGAAAAAAGCGCCATTATTCCTAAATTCCATCATTTAATGCCTTGAACACGGAGCTTTGCCTGGAAGCAGGAACCCAGCCTTGGAGTGAAGCTTTTCTGGACACCAAATTCCCCCAGACAGCTGCCCTCGCTCTGAGTTTTCCAAAACAACCTCAGAAATATTCCTGTAAATTTCCTAATTTACAGGAATATTTCCCTCACTGCTCCCCATCACCTCTAAAAAGCCACTTGGGTTTATTGGGAATAAAAATCCTTAATTCTCCTCAAATCCTGTGCTGCTGGGAGGCAGCCAAGCCAGCCCGGCTTCCCCACGAACACATTTTTCCAAATTTCTTCTTTCTTTCGCCACTTTTCCTTCCAGCCTTCCAAATTCCTGCTGGTTTTTGCCTTTTTGAGCAAATAAACCCAGTTCCTGCCACTCCTCAGCTGCTTCCCACAGGGTTCCACACCCAAAGGGTCAGGATTTGGGAGGAAAACAGCTGAAAATCGAGGAGTGAGAGAGAATCTGCCCCCAACACGAACATTCTGGGCAGAAACAAAACCAAATCCACCCTGAAACCTGCACAGGGAGGGGAAAAAAAACCCCAAATTAATCCAGAATGAGCATCAGGAGCTGCAGGACACGTGCTGGAATGGCTGTAAGTGGAACAAGTCTGGTGATTATTCCCTGAATTATTCCCACTCATTCCAAACAGGGAGGATTTGCCTCTTTTTAGCTTCATTTGATCTCTTCTGTTGAGCTTTACTGTTACGTTTTTAGCTTTGTTTTTACCTTTCCCTTCATTGTTCTGCCATTCCCTTCACCTTTCTAGTTTTACATTTTCCTTCATTGTTTTTTGGCTTCAATTTTCCCTTCCACTCCTCTGTCCACTGATCAGCTGCACTAAAAAACGAGGGGGGAAAGGGAAAATTTGGGGAATCTTAAAAAGAAAAATTAGAGAAATCACAGACAGGGAAGCTCTGCCCGGCGGCGTCACAGAAACGAAAACGTGCCCCCAAAAATTCACTGGAAAAGCTCCAAATAACCGTAACTGAAAACATCCTGGAAAAGCAAAATATACAAAAGCCCCCAAAGGATTGGATAATTCCATAGAAACGTCCCCTGGATGATACAAAACCCAAAGGTGGCGGGGAATTGGGATAAAAGGAAGCCAAAGGGATCCCTCAGCAGCAACTCCTGGAGCCAGGTGAGCACTGGAGGGGGGAATTGTCCCCCAAAGCCTCAGAGCACTTCTAAAAGTCCTTTTTTTAACAAATAAGCCCTAAAAAAGCCCAATTGCTGGTGGTGGCTCTGCTTGTGTGGCTGCACCGGGTCTAAGGGTTAATTCTGTTACACTTTAGGTCTGAGTTAATTACATTTTTAGAGCTAATTGACCCCTTTTCCACACACACAAAAAACCCCTTTTTCCCCCTCCTGGCTGGAGGCAGGTGTTGGCTGCCCCTGGCTTTGCCAAAATCACCTGGAATGACACCAAACCCCCCCCAGGTCCATGCACACCCTGTCCCCATGCCCTGGGGGTGTCCCAAATCCCAAATCCCCCTATGCAGGTGAAGCCTTTGGGGAGCTGGGGAAGGGTTTGCCCTAAAATGACAAATTTGGGGGACCAGGTGCACGTTTTGGGGAGGAACCTGTGGAAGCTGCAGGTGCAAGAACTGGACAGAGCCTCAAGCCCCAAATTCTGCCCACGGCCCCCTCGTTCCCCTCCACCTTCACCCCTTGCACTGGCTACAAAGGCAATAATTAGCTTATTCCTAAAATAATTAATTAATTAGGGCCCAGAACGGGGCCCTGGGGTGCCGACAAAGGGCAGCGAGGGGTGGGAGGTGATTCCAGCCCGTCCCAGCTCTGTGGGCCGGAATGCACAACCACAATTGAATATTTAGGGGGGCCACAAGGAGAACGCCCCACGAGGAGCTGCCTGAACCTCCCGGCTCGTTCCTGCACCTCCAGACCTGCGGGGATCCCCTGGGCCGACCCCAGAAGGGTTCACTGGGACCGAAACGGGACCAAACACAATTAAACTCGCTCTGGAATCGCTGAACCCCACAGAAATTGGGGGGTTTTACCCCAGGAGTGGCACTGGCACCGGGCCCCGCGCCTCGTCAGCGGCGACAAGCTCGTCATCGTTACCAGCGCGAGGATTTAAGGCCGAGTCATCGAAAATGTGCATTTTACCCACCCACCCCGCCGCCGGGGCGCCCAAGGCCCGCGGAGGAGGCGGGTTCCACGCGGGACAGGCGGCGCTACGCGTCGGGCTGGCCCTTGTTGGTCTTCTTGAGCAGCTTCCTCAGGTCCTGGGACATGAAGTAGGGCTTTTCCGCCGAGCCGTCGTTGCGCTCCAGGTCTTCCACTGCAAAGAGAAACCCCCGGCCCCGCGGCGGGGGCAGGCCTGGGGTTGGTGTGCTGGAGGCTCCCGGGATCCTCCGACAGCGACTGCCAGCTCAAACAAAGTCTCTGGGCTCATCCTGAATTACGGGGCTTTTCCCTCTCTGACACGGCAAATCTGGGGGTGGCCCGCAGAGGTTGAGGAGAAAGAGGAAATTTGGGTGTTTTGTGTTTTTGAACAGAGCCAAGGGCAGGAGGGAGCCCTTGGCTCTTCCCAGCAGCTCTGGAGCCATTGAAAAGCGATTCCCAACGAGGCTGGAAAATCCCAGCCGTGGAAAAAAAACACCCCAAAACCAAACAAAGCCACAAAGCTCCGGGCTCACAACGCCCAGGGGGTGTTTTGAGAGGGATTTGGATCCTGCTGGGATGGACACGGGAGCACCAACAGCAGGGCTTTGTCCTGGGAGGGCCTGGCTGGGAGCTGTGGCTGAGGCTGAGCCACAAGAGCTGTTTTTCTTAAATCTTGATAATTTCTGGGCTTTCTGGAGGAGAAATCCCAACTCCCCCCATGGCTGGAGTGAAAATCTCCAAGTCCCAATGGCCACCAGTGACAGCTCCTGTGATGTCTGGGACAGGGGACAGGGACAAGCTGGGCTAAGCCAGCAAAGCTCTGCAAGCTCACCCAGAATCCTTCAAAATTCTGTGGTTTGCATAGAGACAGGAGGAGGAAAAGGGTGAGAAAACTGCCAGGAAAGGGGCAAGGAAAGGGCAAAGAAAGTCTCAGTGCTCTTGGCTGAAGCGGACGCAGAGGAAACGCCCCGAGCCCGGTCTGGGGCGGCGGAACCCGCTCAGCCCGTCCCACCCAGCCCTGTCCCCGGTCCGTGCCGGGCCCCCCGTGCCAGCCCTCCCTCGGGAGCGGGGATCTCTGCCCCAAAGCCACGGCGATCTCGGGCACCGCGCCCCTCGCCGGGCGCTGCCGGGAGCCCCAGCCAGCTCCACGCGGGTTCTCTCGGCGCAGGAACGCGGGTTTTTGGGCAGGAAGGCAGGTTGGACACCCGGCGCCCTCGGAGGGGACACCACGGGAGTCGCTGCTGGGGCCGGGAGGGTCCCGCCCAGCCTAGCCTTGGCTATCGGCGCTTTTGGAAGGCTCTAGGTGCCCCTTCAGCAGGATCTCGCTCAGCTCGGGGGACATGTAGTAAGGCCTCTCCTGGGATCCATCGTTTCTCTCCAGATCTTCGCCTTTTCCAGCCCCGGGAGGAAGCGGCCGTGAAGGGGGAGAGCGGAAAGCGGTGGAGGAGCCAGGGAGAGACAGGGCGGAGGTGGAGGACGTGTGGCCAGAGACACGGGAGGGGTGGAAAAGAAGGGAAACAGGGAGGAAAAAAAGGGGAGTCGAGGTTAGCTGTAGTTAATTCCACCGAGCCCAAAGCACCAAAACAGAGGGAGAGATGCAGGAGCCCACGGACAGGCCGGGGGTCTCTGCTGGAGCAGGCAGGGCAGAGCAGGTGAGAACGCAGGTGAGGAGTCAGGAGAGGAAAGAGCAGGAGAAAACCACACGGAGGGACCCCGGGACTGGGAGCTGGACACTCTGGGGGCGAGCCTGATGGGAGAGGGGGTTTTTGCTGATACTCACAGAAGCAGAGGAACAGGGTGTCCACGCACATGCCGTAGACGCTGAAGAACCCGTGGGCAATGAGGTAGGAGCCCACGATCACCGTCTGGAAGAGACGCACGCGCTGATGCCGCAGAGAGCCCGGAACCCCCCCAGGAGCAGCAGGAGGAGGAAAATGCTGAATCCCACATTCCCCAGGGGAAGGAGGAGAAGCGAACAGGGCAGGACTGTTTGGAGCAGCCCGAGTGGGGACAAAAGGCCTCAGCCACCCCTGGATGGAGGCCAGAGTGGGCAGCGCAGGCGGGCGCGGCGCCAGCAGCGACCAACAAAGGGCTCATTGCGCCAGGGCCGGGAAAACACCTCCAACAAAGGGGCTCCTTGAGGCCCCGGCTGTGGGGAGGGGCTGGCGTGGGGCCCCGCTGCCCTCTCCGTCTGCAGTCACCCCTCAGGGAAAGGGCAGCTCACCAGAATGGGCACCCAGTAGTAATTGAGCGGCGGCGCCGTGTCCTGGACCAGCTTTATCCGCTGGGTGAAGAAGAAGAAGGCGAGGATCCCTGGGAGAGCAAGGGATGGACAAGGGTGGGCAAGACGGGAAGGAGCAGCTTCACGGGAGGGGTGATTTGAGGGGAGCTTTCGGGTGCCTCGAGGAGAAACTTCCAGAAGCCAGCACTCACCCACGCTTCCCACGATGAGGAGCTTGCCGAGGAAGAAGAGGAAATCCGTGACTTTATCCAACACGGCCACCCTGGAGACAAGAGAGGGATGAGCCTCTGCGTCTGCTCCCCAGAGAAGCAGCCACGGCACGAGTGGCAAACGGCGTGGGGTGCCTCCCCCAGGTCTCACCTGATGATGTTCCTCATCAGCAGGAAGAACGCGTTCCGGGCCGAGGTGCAGAAGTTGGTGCCGTAGATGGCGATCTGGGGCGGAAAAGCCGCGCACAGGAGAGAGAAACGGGGCTGCACTGAGTCCCCCACGCAGGGGAGGGTGCAGATCCCACCCTGCAAGGGCTTTCTCACCCACTGCGGGGTCAGGCATCGCAGAGACCCGGAGCTGAATACCCCCACCCGCACAAGGTCCTCCCCAAAGCCAACGGGACGTGGCCGAGGTCAAGGTTTTCCAGCCAAAAAGCTGAAAAATTCCTCAAAGCTCCATGTTCCCACAGCACCAGAAGACACAATTCCCAGGGAAATCTCCGAGCTGCCCCCGTGGCTGCCCCAGCCCTTGGAGGGAGCTGGTTTAGGACAACTCTCACCATGATGTAGGCGTTCCTGTTGAGGAACTTGAGGAATTTCTCCAGGCACCAGAAGCAGCACTTGAGGCAGCCCAGGAGGAACTTGGCAAACTTGTTCTCGGCGGCTGGAGGGCGCAGGGAGAGGGCTCAGCACCAAGGCCAGCGGGGTGGGATGTCCCAGCAGCCGCTCGGAGGTCCCTGCTGAGACCTTGCTGCCACAGTCCCCCCACCCCAGCCCTCTCAGCACCTTTCAGCCGGTGGTCCAGGTACTCCAGGATGACCCTGATCACCTGGACGATGGCCAGGATCAGCGAGCCGAAGGCCAGCGAGCCCGTGTGGTACCTGGGGATGGAGCAGCCCGGTCAGAAAGGCACAGCCTCGCAGACAGAGCTCCCGGGGACAGACGGACAGACGGACAGACAGACGGACGCACCGGAGCGCGCGGCCGAAGGCGGAGAAGAGCGGGAAGGCCGGCATGTCGTCGGGCTTCTTGAAGGCCCAGTAGTAGGAGGCGAAGGCGCCTGCCAGCGTCACCTGGCCCAGCGCGATGACGAAGTTGGCGAGCCAGAAGAACATGAAGACGTTGAAGAACTGCAGCGCGACGAGATACTTGTGGTAGGCGGTCTCGCCGCCGTAGAAGGCGAACAGGCACTGGGCGTCGGGGCACAGCTTGGTGACGTTGCTGGTGTTGAAGGTCTGCAGAGGACACGGGACGCTGCCGGTCAAGCCAGAGCGACACCCGTGGTCTCGTCTCTGACAGGTCCCGAGTGTCCTGAGGCGCTCACCTCGGGCCTGCAGGTCTGCCCAGCGAACGGACACGCGGACTCGTTGAACACCTTGTAAACGGCCTCGTTGGAGGTGGACAGGAAGCTGCGGGTCAGCGTTAAGGAAAGGTCGTTTTCCAAACCCAGCCCTAAATCCAAACCAGGCTCCACTTGGCTCTCCCCGAGCTCCCGCTGCTGCTCTTCCACTCCAGGGCTGGTTTTGGGTTAAATCTCAGAGATTTGAGGTGGATCCGCCATCAGATCCTGCTCCATGCCTGGGGGGGACACCGGACTTGTGGGAAGGGGGATGCAGGGACAGGAGGAGGATGAGGAAGAGGGCGAGGAAGAGCAAAGGATACACGGCAGTGCTGGCCCAGTAGGCGATGCAGAGGCACAGCAAGAAGAAGGTGCACAAGGGGAACAGCAGCGACGACATGACGTGACCGACAGCCCTGCGAGAAAATGGTTAAACCCCGGTTAAACCCTGGTTAAACCCCAGTTAAACCCCGGTTAAACCCCAGTTAAACCCCAGTTAAACCCCGCAGCCATGGGTGCCAGCGGCCCTGGGGACAGGGACAGCCAGACCTGCTGGCCTCCTTGATGAGCGCGATGGCGATGAGGATCCTCTTGCGCAGGAAGATGAGCAGCAGGACGATCACCAGCTCCAGCACGCACAGGATGATCACTGGGCAGGGGAACGGAGCGTCAGGGCCACCTGCACCTTCCCCCAGGGCACCCAAATCTCCTCCGGGAACACCCAGCACTGCCCCGTGGCCGGGCACCCAGCAAAGTCCCTCCTTCCCACGGGATCAGCCCAAAACCCGCTGTGAGCCCATCCCCCCGCCCTGTGGGGCCCCATCCCAATTAATTCCCAATTCCTGGACGCTTACAGAACGCCAGCCAGGTCTGCCGCAGGTGCAGGTACACACGGAGGTCGGTCTGGAAGCCCAGGTCTGTCAGGGACATATCCGACCCCGCTTCCCCTTTTAGCTTGGCATATTCCATGTAGCAGTGGAAGATTCCTGTGGCAGAAAGCAGAAATTTGTCATTTTTGCACGGGAGAGGCAGCGCCGGACGCCGGCCAGGGAGGGGACACCCGGCAGGACACGGCGTGTGAAATTCTGCAGGGCAAATCCCACTGGAAATGGGGAAAGGACAACGGGGAAAAGCCAGGGAGAGGCTGCCAGCCCCCTGCTCACCGTATCCCAGCACCAGGATCACCATCACGATCATCACCCACACCATGACCCCCGCCAGGAAGCGCAGCAGCACGATGAAGATGAGGCTGGCCACCATGGCAATGACGAGGCCTCTGCGGGAGGAAGGCACGACGTGTCAGCACCCTCCAGAGTGCCACACCGTCCCCCAGACGTGGGAACGGACAGCAGGGATGTCACTGCTCGTGCTTTGCTCCATGGAAATTGTGGGAAAGCCAGGGAAATAGTAAAATACTGAAAACCCCCGGGTTTTGCCCCATGCTCACATGATGATCCAGTACCAGGACACCGTGTAATCCTCGAAGATCTTCATGGCCAGCTGCCGCGTCTCCAGCACCACGTTGGCTTTCCTGCGAGAGAACGGGGAACGCCGATGGAGGGGGAGCCGGGGGGGACCCCAAACCCGCGAAAATTCAACAATTCCGCACAGCAAATCCCCGGAGCCGTGTGCACTGCGCCTCCTTTGCCACTCTCGTTCCCACCACGGGATTTTGGTGCAGGATTTCTGGCAAACACCTCAAACGGGCAAAGCAGCGCTAATGAAGCAGCTCTTAACGAGGGGCCGGGACTCACTTGGCCCCTTCCAGCAGCTCGGTGACATTCCTGTGGTTCCCCCAGCCGTCCTCGTAGGTCGTCTTGTTGCCCACCATGATGACGCCCTTCTTGGCCTGGATGGCCGGGAAGCATCTCCGCGCCACTGGTGGGACACAGGGGGTGGCTCAGCCGGGAGAACCCCCACAGGACCCCCAGAACCCCCAAACAGCCTCCAAACAATCCTTAACGAGCTCCTTGCTAATTATGGACGTACGTGGGGTGCTGGGAATGAGCATGGCCGGACACTCTCTGTCCTTCAGCACGTTGAGGGCAGCCTGGGAGGGGACAGCGAGCCGGACGTGAGCACGCGGGGCAGGAATCCCCCCACGGCACGGGAACCCCGGCCCCACAGCCCAGACCCACCTTCTGCGTGCCCTTGTACTCGGGGGTGCAGAAACTGCGGTAATACTCGAGCGAGGCGGGGTTCCCCGAGGCCGTCAGGTACGTCAGGTACCGGTCCGGGCACTTGCTGACACAGATCTGCAGGGAGGGGGACACGGGCAGGGGGCTCGGGCCTGGATTCCCTGGGGAATTATCGGGGGTCCCGAGGGGGCTGCACCCCGGATTCCCTGGGGAATTATCGGGGGTCCCGACGGGGCTGCAGGCCGGATTTCCTGGGGAATTATCGGGGGTCCCGAGGGGGCTGCACCCCGGATTCCCCGGGGAATTATCAGGGGTCCCGAGGGGGCTGCACCCCAGATTCCCTGGGGAATTATCGGGGGTCCCGAGGGGGCTGCACTCTGGATCCCATGGGGAATTATCGGGGGTCCCGAGGGGGCTGCAGGCCCAGATTCCCTGGGGAATTATCGGGGGTCCCGAGGGGGCTGCACCCCAGATTCCCTGGGGAATTATCGGGGGTCCCGAGGGGGCTGCACTCTGGATCCCCTGGGGAATTATCGGGGGTCCCGAGGGGGCTGCACCCCGGATTCCCCGGGGAATTATCGGGGGTCCCGAGGGGGCTGCACCCCGGATTCCCCGGGGAATTATCGGGGGTCCCGAGGGGGCTGCAGGCCCAGATTCCCTGGGGAATTATCGGGGGTCCCGAGGGGGCTGCACCCCAGATTCCCTGGGGAATTATCGGGGGTCCCGAGGGGGCTGCACTCTGGATCCCATGGGGAATTATCGGGGGTCCCGAGGGGGCTGCAGGCCCAGATTCCCTGGGGAATTATCAGGGGTCCCGAGGGGGCTGCACTCTGGATCCCCTGGGGAATTATCGGGGGTCCCGAGGGGGCTGCAGGCCCGGATTCCCTGGAGAATTATCGGGGGTCCCGAGGGGGCTGCACCCCGGATTCCCTGGGGAATTATCGGGGGTCCCGAGGGGGCTGCACCCCGGATTCCCCGGGGAATTATCAGGGGTCCCGAGGGGGCTGCACCCCAGATTCCCTGGGGAATTATCGGGGGTCCCGAGGGGGCTGCACTCTGGATCCCATGGGGAATTATCGGGGGTCCCGAGGGGGCTGCAGGCCCAGATTCCCTGGGGAATTATCGGGGGTCCCGAGGGGGCTGCACCCCAGATTCCCTGGGGAATTATCGGGGGTCCCGAGGGGGCTGCACTCTGGATCCCCTGGGGAATTATCGGGGGTCCCGAGGGGGCTGCACCCCGGATTCCCCGGGGAATTATCGGGGGTCCCGAGGGGGCTGCACCCCGGATTCCCCGGGGAATTATCGGGGGTCCCGAGGGGGCTGCAGGCCCAGATTCCCTGGGGAATTATCGGGGGTCCCGAGGGGGCTGCACCCCAGATTCCCTGGGGAATTATCGGGGGTCCCGAGGGGGCTGCACTCTGGATCCCATGGGGAATTATCGGGGGTCCCGAGGGGGCTGCAGGCCCAGATTCCCTGGGGAATTATCAGGGGTCCCGAGGGGGCTGCACTCTGGATCCCCTGGGGAATTATCGGGGGTCCCGAGGGGGCTGCACCCCGGATTCCCCGGGGAATTATCAGGGGTCCCGAGGGGGCTGCAGGCCCGGATTCCCTGGAGAATTATCGGGGGTCCCGAGGGGGCTGCACCCCAGATTCCCCGGGGAATTATCGGGGGCCCGAGGGGGCTGCAGGCCGGATTTCCTGGGGAATTCTCGGGGGTCCCGAGGGGGTCAGGCCATACCTGCGTGGTCGGGCACTGGAACTCCAGCAGCACCAGCGGGCTCGCGCACTTGACGATGTCAAAGTAAAAAAGGAAAGGTTTTTTCCTGCAAAACAAACCAAAAACCGCCCAGGTTTGGGCAAACCCCCTCCACGCTCCCCCCGAGGAGTTGGGGTCCCTCCACGCGGGGCACTCACTCGTTGGGGGTCCCCGGCTGCCCGCAGAACTGCCCGCGGCTGTCCGTGGGGTGGATCACCTTGCGCGGGTCCCCGTGGGTCCAGGCTGGGGGGCACAGGGCGATGAGGCCGGGGTCACCCCCCCTGCAGCCCCCAGACCCCACAGACCCCCAGACCCCCAGCACGTACCCACGACGCCGACCACGACGTAGCCCACGATGGCCACCACCAGCAGGACGCAGCAGATGACATCGGTGCAGCCCCTGCGGCGGGGACAGGGGGACTGGGGACACTGGGGACACTGGGAATGGGGACACTGGGGACACTGGGAATGGGGACACTGGGACTGGGGACAATGGGGACACTGGGAATGGGGACACTGGGAATGGGGACAATGGGGACACTGGGGACACTGGGAATGGGGACACTGGGGACACTGGGACTGGGGACACTGGGGACACTGGGACTGGGGACACTGGGACTGGGGACACTGGGAATGGGGACAATGGGGACACTGGGAATGGGGACACTGGGGACACTGGGAATGGGGACACTGGGAATGGGGACAATGGGGACACTGGGGACACTGGGAATGGGGACACTGGGGACACTGGGACTGGGGACACTGGGGACACTGGGACTGGGGACACTGGGACTGGGGACACTGGGAATGGGGACAATGGGGACACTGGGAATGGGGACACTGGGGACACTGGGAATGGGGACACTGGGACTGGGGACACTGGGACTGGGGACACTGGGAATGGGGACACTGGGACTGGGGACAATGGGGACACTGGGGACACTGGGAATGGGGACACTGGGACTGGGGACAGGGGGATTGGGGACACTGGGAACACTGGGGACACTGAGGCCAGGGACACTGGGGCTGGGGACATTGAGTTTGGGGACACTGGGTTTGGGACAATGGGACTGGGGACACTGGATTTGGGGACCCTGGACTTGAGGATTTGTGGGATTTTGGGACCCTGGATTTGGGGACCCTGAGCTTGGGGACCCTCGATTTTGGGACACTGGTTATGGGGACACTGGACTTGAGGACCCTGGATTTGGGGACCCTGGACTTGAGGATTTGTGGGATTTTGGGACCCTGGATTTGGGGACCCTGAGCTTGGGGACCCTCGATTTTGGGACACTGGTTATGGGGACACTGGACTTGAGGACCCTGGATTTGGGGACCCTGGGTTTTGAGGACATTGTGTTTGGGGACCCTGGATTTTGGAGATTCTGGATTTGGGGACCCTGGAACTTGGGGACCCTGTCCTCACCTGTCATAGATGGGCCCTTTGAAAGTCGGGTCATATTTCTGCGGCGTTCCTGTGAGGAAGAAGAGGAATGGCAGTGAGGAATGGCCGGGGCCGGAGGAAGGCACTCCTCATCCTCCTCACCGCACGCTAAAGGAGCCAAACGCTTCCCAAAAACCCCTCGGGATAAACCAGGAAAACATCTGCGGATCGGCTTCCCGAGCCGGGAAACAACGGCTCCCTGTGAGAGCTCATTCCCACAGGTGGCTCTGCCCGAAAGGTGCCCAAACTGCCGCAAAAATGACCCGAAATCCCACAAAACACCAAAATCACCAAATTCCACGGAGCACCAAAGAACCGGGGGGGTCCCGGGGGTTCCGCCGAACCCGGGGGGGCCCCGGCCCCGCCGCAGCCCCCCCGGCGCCGCCGCTCCGCTTTATTTCTATTTCTATTTCTATTTTTATTTTTAGTGTGGCAGCGGAGCCAGCGTGGGAGCGGCCCGGGGCGGGGGGGCCGCGGATCTGGGGGGGCCGCAGCAGCCCCCAGACAGGGATATGTGGTTTTATGGGGGGGTCACTCCAATAAACATTTCTCGTGCCCGGAACGCGTTTGCTTTGGGGTATTTTGGGGGGGATCCCCTCTCCAAAGCCCCCCGAACGGCGGCGCGGGGGGGGCAGAACCAGAACCGATCCCGGGACAGCCCGGCGCCGCGGAGACGCCCCAGAACCGCCGGAGCCGGTTTGTCCCGGTCTGTCCCGGTCTGTCCCGGCGCCGAGCGCGGCCGTCGGGCCGGTTCTGCGGCCGCCGGGCAGGGCGGCCCCAAACCCCAAAAAAACCCCCAAAAAAACCCAAAAAACCCCAAACCCCCTCCCCAGCCCCCCAAAACCGCGGCCCCCCCTCCGTGCGGGGCGCGGCCGCTTTTGCTTTCGCTTTGCCCCGCCGTTCCCAGCCCCGCTTTCCGCCCATTTTGGGGTTGTTTTCCGCCCATTTTGGGGCTGTTTTCCGCCCATTTTGGGGCTGTTTTCCGCCTTTGCCCGCGGCCGTTTGACTCCTTCCCCGCCGAGCCGAGCGCAGGGAACCCCCAAAGGCGCCCCCGAACCGCGGGGAGCCCCAAAAACGCCCCCGGCCCGCAGCGGGAGGAGCCCCCGACCCTCCGGGACCCCCGCACGGAGCCCCCGAGCCCGGGCGAGCCCCCCACACCTCCCCCGAGCCCCGGCCGCGCTCTGAGCCCCCAGAGGTGCCCGAGCCCCGGTACCGGTACCGTGTTTGCCGTAGTAGCTGTCCCCGTGTCCCCCCATCCCGCCGAGCGCCCCCCGCGCCCGCCGCCGTTGCCGTTGCCGTGGCCGTTCCCGTCCGTGCCGGGCCGGGCTGGGCTGGGCCGGGCTGGGCTGGGCCGGGCTCAGGCGACCCCGCCTCCGACACGGCCGCCCCAAATCCGCCCTCCGGGGCACGGACGCGGCCCAAACCCCGCCCCGAGAGCACCGGGGGGAACGGGGGAGAACCGGGGGGAGCGGGCACCGGCACCGGACGGAACCCGGGGGTTACCGCGGAATTCCGGCACCGGCACAAACCGATACCGGACAGCTCCGGTACCGGTACCGGGCAGCCTCGGGGCGCGGCGCGGCCCCGCCGAACCCGGTCCGGAGGTCGGGAACGGGCGGGCAATGTCCGCTCCGTGCCGGGCAGGGGCCGGCGGGCGGTGCCGGTGCTGTCCCCGCCCCGGGTCCGTTCGGGTAAATAAATCACCGGCGGCGGGATCCCGGCTGCGCCCATAGGCCGCCGGTGATGTCAGGGCTGCGGGGGCCCCCCCGCGCACGGCGAACAAAGGCCGGACCGGGGGGGCCCCGCCCGGGAATAACGGGGAACGGGGCCGGTCCCGCCCGGAATAACGGGGCAACCGGGCCGGTCCCGCCCGGAATAACGGGGGAACGGGGCCGGTCCCGCCTGGGGAGGGGTCCCGGCGCTGCCTCCGCGCCCCTCCCTCGCTCCGGGACACCCCCGGGAGCTGCCGGGACCCCCGAAACAGCCCCCAAACCGGGCGGGGCTGCCCCCGTCCCTGCCGCCTCCTCGGGGGTCCCCAACGCGGGGTCCCAAACACGAGGGGGTCCCCAAACACGAGGATACCCAAACACGCGGGGGTCCCCAATGCGGGGGTCTCTGAACCCGCGCGTCCTCAGCCTTGGGGGGCCCTCAAACCCCCTAAACCAGGAGGATCCCCAAACCTGAAGAGTCTAAAGCCCCTCTGGGTCCCAAATCTGGGGCTCCCCACGCCCAGGGGTCCCTGAACCCGAGGAGTCCCGAGACGGGGGTCTCCAAAATCTGGGATTTCCCAGAGCCGGGGGTCCCAAACCGGGGGGTCCCAGAGCCGGGGGTCCCAAACCGGGGGGTCCCAGAGCCGGGGGTCCCAAACCCGGGGGTCTCAAAGCCGGGGGTTCTGGGGAGCCCCGGGAGGGGCGGGGGATGCTCGGTACCGTAATCGCCGTTCGGGTCCCTCCTGCCCGCGGCCCGGTCCATGGCCATGGCGGCTCCGGGCGGCTCCCCCGGTGATTCCCCGGTACCCCCCGGTGCCCCCGGTACCCCCGGTGCCCCCGGGCTGTGGCTGCGGGCGGGGCGGCTCCGGGCCCGGCCCTCGGCACCGATCCGCCCTCGGGGAGGGCCCGGGGCCGCCCCGCCGCGCGCGGGCTCCGGTGGGACCGGGGGATGCGGGGGGCGGCCGGGGGTGCGGGAATGCTCCAGAGTGGGGGCTGGGGGTGCCGGGACCCCCCCAGAGGATACCGGGGGTCTGGGGGTGCAGGGACCCCCCTGAGCGGAATCCGGGGGTCTGGGGGCTCGGGGGGCCACGCGGAGTGGGGGATGTTGGGGTACAGAGACCACCACAGGGTACCGGGGGTGCAGGGACCCCCCCAAAGGGGAGGATGTGGGGGTTCAGGGACGCTCTCGTTGGGGGTCTGGGGGCGCAGCGACCACCCAGAATGGGGAATGTGATGGTTGGGGGGTGTGGAGACCCCCCAAGAGGGAGAATTTGGGGGTGCAGAGACCCCTCCCCAGGCTGGGGCACATCCAGGGGTCCCAAACTTCCCCCCCCACTTTGAACTCTCTCAGGGGTCCCACCCGCGCCCCCCACCCAAAACCGTGGGGTCGCACTGAAAGCGGCCGAAGCCCCCATGGAGTGACCGAGCCCGGGGGTCCCCCCGAGCCCAGGGTGAGACCCCCGCCCGGGGGGGGAGCGGGCCCGGCCCGTCCCCTTTAAGGCCTCTGGGCGCTGCCGCCGCTCACCTGGGCAGGTGACGGTGCCGGAGGTGACGGAGCCGCCATGGCCGCCTCCGCCCTCTTCATCCTGGACCTCAAGGGGAAGGTGAGACCCCCGCCCGCCCCCAGAGCCCCCCGGGACGCCCGAGTGTCCCTGAGGGTCACCCGAGGGCAGCGACCCCCAGGATTTGGGGGGATGATCCGTGTGTGACACCCCAAACCCTGCCGGGGTCACCCGAGTGTCCCCCGTGTCCCTGAGGGTCACCCGAGGACAGCGACCCCCAGGATTTGGGGAGGGGGCGATCCGTGTGTGACACCCCAAACCCTGCCGGGGTCACCGGGGGTCACCGGGGTCTGGGACACCCCAGTGTCCCCTCTGTCCCTGAAGGTCACCCAAGGTCATGGCGGTGACCCCGTGACCCCAGGATTTGGGGTGAGCGGTTTTGGGGAGGGGGTGCCCCCATTTTAACCCCTCTGTGCCCCCCCAGCCGCTGATCAGCCGCAATTACAAGGGGGATGTGGGTCTGGGGGAGATCGAGCACTTCATGGGGGTCCTGCTGCAGCGCGAGGAGGAGGGGACGCTCACGCCCGTGCTGACCCACGGCCACGTGCACTTCCTGTGGATCAAACACGCCAACCTGTACCGTATCCTATCGGGGACCCCTCCCCAAATCCCCCCGGGACCCCCCCAGATCCTCCCCAGAGCCCCCCAGCCCCGGGATCCCCCCCAAATCCTGCCGGGACCCACGGCCACGTGCACTTCCTGTGGGTCAAACACGCCAACCTGTACCGTATCCTATCGGGGACCCCTCCCCAAATCCCAAATCCTGCTGGGACCCCTCCCCAAATCCCCCTGGAACCCCCCAGCCCCGGGACCCCCCCAAACCCTCCCGGGACCCCCTGGTGCCCCCCGTTTTCCTGAGCCCCCGCAGTGGTGGCCACCACCAGGAAGAACGGCAACGCCTCCCTGGTCTTCTCCTTCCTCTACAAGGTGGTGGAGGTGAGTCGGGGGCCCAGCGGGGTCTGGGGGGCGAGGACCACCCCAATTCAGGGTGGGGGGCTGACAGAGGCTCGGGTGCCCCCCCAGGTGTTCTGCGAGTACTTCAAGGAGCTGGAGGAGGAGAGCGTCCGCGACAACTTCGTCATCGTCTACGAGCTGCTGGACGAGCTGATGGACTTCGGCTTCCCGCAGACCACGGACAGCAAGATCCTGCAGGAGTGAGCGTGGGGAGGGGGCTGGGGGCGCCGGGACCCCCCCCGAGCCCCCTGACACCCCGAATGCCCCCAGGTACATCACCCAGGAGGGGAACAAGCTGGAGACGGGCCGGTCGCGCGTGCCCACCACGGTGACCAACGCCGTGTCCTGGCGCTCCGAGGGGCTGCGCTACAAGAAGAACGAGGTGTTCATCGACGTCATCGAGGCCGTCAACCTGCTGGTCAGGGCTGGGGGACACGGGGGGCATGGGGGGCACAGGGGGGCACGGGGGGCATGGGGGGTATGGGGGACACGGGGGGCACGGGGGGCATGGGGGACACGGGGGGCACGGGGGGCATGGGGCTCTGTTACAAGAACGAGGTGTTCATCGACGTCATCGAGGCCGTCAACCTGCTGGTCAGGGGCTGGGGGGCACCCGGGGGGCACATGGGGGGCGCGGGAGGACAAGGAGAGAGACTGGGGTGGGAAAGGGGGTTGGGGTTGGGTAGAGATGGCGTTGGGGTGGGAAAGGAGTGGGATTGGGGTGGGAAGGAGATGGGCATTGGGGTGCGATGTGCTGGGCACGGGGGAGGCGATGGTGCCAGGGCCGTAACACGGACAGGGCTGAGCACGGGGCCGGTGCCAGAGCCGGTGCCAGAGCCGGTGCCAGCCCGGATCCAGCCCCTGCCGTGCCCGCAGGTGAGCGCCAGCGGCAGCGTGGTGCTGAGCGAGGTCGTGGGCACCATCAAGCTCAAGGTTTTCCTCTCGGGGATGCCGGAGCTGCGCCTGGGCCTCAACGACCGCGTGCTGTTCGAGCTGACGGGCCGTGAGTGCCGGGCTGGGCTGGGCTGGGGGCTCAGCCCCGTGCCCCCGACCCTCCTGACCACCCCCCAACCCTCCTGAACCCCCCTGACCCTCCTGAGCCCCCTGAGCCCCCGCTCCCCCCCAGGGGGCAAGAACAAGTCGGTGGAGCTGGAGGACGTGAAGTTCCACCAGTGCGTGCGTCTGTCCCGCTTCGACAACGACCGCACCATCTCCTTCATCCCCCCCGACGGCGACTTCGAGCTCATGTCCTACCGCCTGCACACGCAGGTGTGGGCGGGGGGCGCACCTGGGGGGCTGGGACCCTCATCTGAGGGCACCTATGGGGGTGGGACCCCTGCCTGGGGCCTGCAAACCCAGTCTGGGGGGGCTGGGACCCCTGTCCGGGGGCACCTATGGGGCTGGGACACCTGGGGACCCCTCATGGGGCGATGGGGACCCCTGGGGGACCCCCAGGTGACTCCAGGTGTGACCCCCGTGCCCCCCCCAGGTGAAGCCGCTGATCTGGATCGAGTCCATCATCGAGAAGTTCTCGCACAGCCGGGTGGAGATCATGGTCAAGGTGAGCCTGGGGGTCCCCCCAGCCCCTCAGGGACCCCCACCCAGCCCCTCAGTGCCCCCCACCCAGCCCCGTTTCCCCCCCCCGTGCCCGCAGGCCAAGGGCCAGTTCAAGAAGCAGTCGGTGGCCAACGGCGTGGAGATCTTGGTGCCGGTGCCCAGCGACGCCGACTCACCCAAGTTCAAGACCACGGCGGGGTCGGCGCGGTACCTGCCCGAGAGGAACGTGGTCATCTGGAGCATCAAATCCTTCCCCGTGAGCGCACGCACCGGGGGGGAACCCTGAAACCCTGGCGTGTCAGCCCTGTCCCCCGAATCCTGGGGTGTCCCCAGTGTCCCTGAAACCCTGGCCTGGGTGTCCCCAATGTCCCCTAAACCCTGTCCTGGGTGTCCCCCATTTTCCCCAGTCCTTGTCCCAAAGTGTCGCCCCTGTCCCCCAACCCCTGTCCCCCTGTCCCCCCCCCGTTCCCCCTGTCCCCCACCCCCTATTCCAGCCTCTCCCCCTCTCCCTGTGCCCCCCGTGTCCCCCCAGTCCTGGGGTGTCCCCAATGTCCCCCAACCCCTGTCCTGGGTGTCCCCATTTTCCCCAATCCCGCGCTGTCCCCCCCGTCCCCCTCTCCCTGTCCCTGGGGGTCCGGGGGTGTCCCTGGGGGTCCGGGGGTGTCCCCGGGGGTCCCCACGGGCTCTGTGGGCTCCCAGGGGGGCAAGGAGCACCTGATGCGCGCCCACTTTGGGCTGCCCAGCGTGGAGAAGGAGGAGGAGAGGGGCGGCCGCCCATCGCCGTGCGCTTCGAGATCCCCTACTTCACCGTCTCGGGCATCCAGGTGGGCTGGGCAGGGGGGCCCGGGGGCTGGGGAGGGGTCCCAGGGGCTGGGGAGGGGTCGCGGGGGATTTAGGGGACAGGAACAGGGAGGGCAGTGAGGTCTCTGCAGGGTCTGGGGTCTCCAGGAGGGGATCCTGGGGAACTGGGGAGAGGCTGGGGGCTCCGGGGGGTTTTTGGGGTGGGGGTGACCCCCCAGGTGCCCCCCAGGTGCGGTACATGAAGATCATCGAGAAGAGCGGGTACCAGGCGCTGCCCTGGGTGCGCTACATCACCCAGAGCGGGGGTGAGTCGGGACCCCCGGGACCCCTGCCCGGGCCCCCAAATTCCCCTGGGATCCCCAAACCCCAGCCTGGGCCCCCCAGCCCAGACCCCCATCTCATCGCCTCTCTCTCTCTTGCAGATTACCAGATCCGCACCAGCTGAGGGGAGGGGTCTCCCATGGGACCCCCGACCCTCATGGACCCCCCCATCTCCGTTTCCCACCCCTCACGCCCACATCCCTGCTCTGCCCCAATAAAGATGGAGCTGAGACCCCGTCCCGCTGCTCTGGGGGGTGCTGGGGGGGTCTCGAGTGGAAATAGAGTGGGGGGATCCCGGTCCCAGTTTGAGGGTCCCGGGTGAGGGGGGCGATATGGGGTGGGGGGCGCTGTGGGCCCCACCCGCTTCTTTGAGCGCCGTTGCCCTTTTAAGAGCCGGAAGGGGCGGGGCTTCCCGGCGGCGGGAGGGGCGGGGCGCTCCGGTCACGTGGCGGCGGATCCGGAAGTGGCGGGCGGTCACGTGGGCGGGCATGGCGGAGCTCCGCGTGAATGCGGCGTTCGCGGAGCGCTACGGGCGGTACCGGCGGCGGGAGGAGCTGCAGCGCCGTGAGGCACCGGGAACGGGGGAACCGGGATGGGAATGGGCTGGGAACGGGGATAACCGGGCGGTACCGGCGGCGGGAGGAGCTGCAGCGCCGTGAGGCACCGGGAACGGGGCTGGGAATGGGCTGGGAACGGGAATGGGAATGGGGGAACCGGGAACGGGCGGTACCGGCGGCGGGAGGAGCTGCAGCGCCGTGAGACACCGGGAACGGGGAGAACAAGAACGGGGAACCGAGCTCGGAAGGGGAGAACGGGACCCGCGATCGGAGGGAACGGGTACCCCCGGTGCTGATCTCCCCCGGTGCCGGTTTCCCCCCGGTGCCGGTTCCGATCGCTCCCGGTTCCCCGGCAGTGCGGGACCGTTACGGTGACACCGCCGACAGCGGCGACAGCTCCAGCTCCGAGTCCAGCGGGGACGATGTGGTGAGCGGGGAAGAGGGGGTCCCGGTACCCGTGACCCCTCCGTGACCCCCGGTGACCCCTCCGTGACCTCCGATGACCCCCCGGTGACCCCCGGTGACCCCCCCCAGGCCCTGGACCCCCGCGAGGAGCGCGAGTTCTACCGGACGCTGGCGCTGCTCAAGACGCGCGACCCCCGCATCTACCGGCAGGACACGGCGTTCTACACCGGCACCGGTACCGGGATAGGGCGGGAACCGGGATGGGGGGGGAACCGGTACCGGGATGGGGGGAACCGGGCCCCGCATTTACCGGCAGGACACGGCGTTCTCTACCGGCACCGGTACCGGGATGGGGGGAACCGGACCGGAGGGACCCAAACCCCCCCCGAGCTCACCGTGAGCCCCCCCAGGGGATGATGAAGATGAGGATGAAGATGATGAGGATGATGATGAGGATGAAGATGAAGAGCGGACCAGGCCGATGTTCCTGAAGGATTACGAGCGGAAGGTGGTGCTGGAACACGAGGGGTGAGCGATGGAATTTGGGGAGGGGGCTCTGGGGATTTGGGGGGTCCTGAGCGCCCCCCGGGCTGCCCTGACCTTCATCCCCCCCCCCCGCAGCAAATACGTGGACGAGGAGGACGAGGAGGATGAGGAGGCGGCGGCCAAGCGGAGGAAGGTGAGGGGGGACGGTCTGACCCCCCAAAAATCCCATTTTCCTCCCAAAATCCCATTTCCCCCTCAAATCCCTGCGCCCCCCCCCCCCCCCCCAAAATCCCATTTTTTTCTCCCCAAATTCCCCTTTTTCCTCCCCAAAATCTCATTTTTCCCCCTAAAATCCCTTTTTCCTTCCAAAATCCTATTTTCCCCCAAATTCTCATTTTCCCCCCAAATCCCCATTTTTCCCCCCAGGCCGAGGCCTCCCCCAGCTACGCCGAGGAGCAGCGGGGCGCTCAAGGAGAGGTCGGGGGGGTCCCGGGCATTTGGGGGGGTCCCGGGCATTTGGGGGGGTTTTGGGGAGGGGTCTCTGTGATTTTTGGGGGTCTCTGTGATTTTGGGGAGGGGTATCTGTGATTTTTGAGGGTCTCTGTGATTTTGGGGAGGGGTCTTTCTGATTTCTGGGGTCTCTGTGATTTTTGGGGTGGGGTCTCTGTGATTTTGGGAGGGGGTCTTTGTAATTTTAGGGAGGGGTCTTTCTGATTTCTGGGGGTCTCTGTGATTTTTGGGAGGGGTCTCTGTGATTTTGGGGGTCTCTGTGATTTTGGGGGTCTCTATGATTTTGGGGGGGGGGTCCCTCCGCACCGGGGGTGACCGTGGCCCCCTCCCCTTTTCCCCCCCCGCAGTTTCAGAGCCTTGGTGGCCGAGAGCGAGGATGAGGAGGGTGATGGTGATGATGAAGGGGGGGGAGGGGCCCTGCTGCGGCCCCGGGAGCGGAGCCGGGAGGAGAAGGTGAGGGGGGGTCCCATGGGGGGGGTTGGGGGATCCTGAGGGGGTTTCGGGTCCCTGGGGGTGATTTGGGGGAGGTTTGGGGGTCCCGTGGGAGGTTTGGGGGGTCCTGGGTGAGATTTGGGGGTCCTGGGAGGGTCCTTGGGAGGAGGTTGGGGGGTCCTGGGGGGTCTGGGGGATCCCAGGCAGTTTGGGGGGGTCCCAGGGGGTTTTGGGGGGGGTCCCTCACTGTTCTCCCCCAGGCCCAGGAACAGCAGCAGTACCTGGAGAGGGTTTGGGGTGTTTTCGGGGGTCTCAGGGGTGTTTTTGGGGGGGGTTTTGGGGGTCCCTCACTGTTCTCCCCCCAGGCCCAGGAAGAGCAGCAGTACCTGCGCTGGCTGCGGGGCCAGGCCGAGCCCCCCCCGGAGCCCCTGCAGGACCTGGTGAGGGGCTGGGGGCTCCATTGAGGGGCTGGGGGCTCCATTGAGGGGCTGGGGGGGTCCTGAGGGGCTGGGGGGGTCCTGAGGGGCTGGGGGCTCTGACAATGGGGCTGGGGGCTCCATTGAGGGGCTGGGGGGGTCCTGAGGGCCTGGGGGCTCTGACAATGGGGCTGGGGGCTCTGGGGATGGCTGAGGGGGGAGTCCCAGGTGTGACCCCGCCCCATTTTGCCCCCACAGGAGCCCCTGCAGCGGCTCTGGGGATGGGTCTGGGGTCTCTGGGGGCTCTGGGTGTGACCCCAGCCCCGTTTCCCCAGGAGCCCCTGCAGCGGCTCTGGGGATGGGTCTGGGGTCTCTGGGGGCTCTGGGTGTGACCCCAGCCCCATTTCCCCGTTTCCCCAGGAGCCCCTGCAGCGGCTCTGGGGATGGGTCTGGGGTCTCTGGGGGCTCTGGGTGTGACCCCAGCCCCATTTCCCCGTTTCCCCAGGAGCCCCTGCAGCGGCTCTGGGGATGGGTCTGGGGTCTCTGGGGGCTCTGGGTGTGACCCCAGCCCCATTTCCCCGTTTCCCCAGGAGCCCCTGCAGCGGCTCTGGGGATGGGTCTGGGGTCTCTGGGGGCTCTGGGTGTGACCCCAGCCCCATTTCCCCGTTTCCCCAGGAGCCCCTGCAGCGGCTCTGGGGATGGGTCTGGGGTCTCTGGGGGCTCTGGGTGTGACCCCAGCCCCATTTCCCCGTTTCCCCAGGAGCCCCTGCAGCGGCTCTGGTCGGACCCGGCGCTGGAGCCGGGCGAGCGCTTCCTGCGCGATTACCTGCTGGGCAACGGCTACAGGGAGCAGGAGGAGGAGGAGGAGGGCGAGGAAGGGTGAGACGGACACCCCCAGAGCCCCCAGACCCCTCAGAGACCCCTTAGACAACTTTGATCGCCCCCAGACCCCTCAGAGCCCCCCCAGACCATCCCCGCCCCTCCCCGAACACCCCTTGGGACGAGGGGGAGCAGCTCCTGCAGCGCCAGCAGGACCGAGGGTGGGGACACCCCGTGACCTCCCCCTGACCCAAATGACCCCCCCAGACCCCAGTGACCCCCCGTGACCCCCCCAGGGTGTCTGTGCCCCCCCCAGACCCCCCCGTGACCCCCCAGTTTGGCCGTGCCCCCCCCGGATGACTCCTCGGACGAGGGGGAGCAGTTCCTGCAGCGCCAGCAGGACTGAGAGCGGGGACCCCCTGGGACCCCCTGAACGCCCCAGCTCCCAATGACACCCCCAGACCCCTGTGACCCCCCTGACCCCCCCAGTTTGGCCGTGCCCCCCCTGGATGACTCCTCGGACGAGGGGGAGCAGTTCCTGCAGCGCCAGCAGGATTTCGAGCGCCGCCACAATTTCCGCTTCGAGGAGCCGGGGGCGGCCCAGGTGGGGCAAAACCGGGGGGCGGGGGGCAAAAACCGGGGTCGAGTGATGAAAATTGGGGGATCGGGGGGTGAAAATTTGGGGTCAGGGGGCGAAAATTGAGGGCGGGG